CGTTCGAACGGGTGTGAGCGGTTTTCTAGTATTTTTAGACTTACGACACGTGGAGATCAACGCGCAAGCGAAATAAGAGGAAGAGACGGTGAGCACTCGAAGCTCCGAATTCTCAGCGTTGTATTGTGATGTTCGCGCGAGTTTCGTTTCACCGCCCAGTTACAGAAGCGTCCGTGTTGCGAAAATTCGCTCGTTCCTTTTTATGACGGCGGATTTATGTGATGAAAATACACGCACGCCGACGTATTTTTTTCCCCTTCACCATAAGAGTTGAATCATTCTTATTTTGTATTCGTTGTCCGCTCATAAACCGATACGCATACACGCTCTCATTTATTATAAATTTTTGTATTAAACTTTTTGATTTTATATTTACCACACACAAGCCTTTACACCGTATCAATTTTTACTGCTATCGATATAACATATAATTGCCAATCGCTATCATTTTCAATTTTTAATGAAAATTATTTTTCTTATATGAAAATTCATACCGTTATGAATTTTTTTTTTACTTATGACACTACAAAGACATGCAAACTCATAATGATGATGAAAACATAGTTGGCGCAATTAGGCGGTGTAACATGTATATTGGGACATGCTTTGTAACTTACGTTTGAATAAGTGCTGGGTTTCGTCAGAAAGGACGCGTGCAGAAGATTGGCGCCGATTCGTCACGATTACTATGCATTAGTGAAAATGTTCGTCACAATGCAATAAGTGTCATTGGTGAAATAAAATTTACATATTGTAAGAACGGAGGGTCGAGCATTTTGCATTGAAAGACGTCCCTAATTATGTAAGTAAGATTTGTCAAGTCTGTCGATTGGAAAAGAAGTCATCAGTCGATTGAATGGAAAGCTGCGCATTCACGTCTCGCATACATTTGAATAAATCTATTTCAAAGATTTACGCACAAATTCTTCTTACTCGAGCCAGTAAAAAACAAGCACTTTTACCACACGAGTGCTTGCTAGAAAATTAAAAATTAAAATAAATATTATTTTATTTTAATAGAATTTTAAACGCGCTCTTATGCAATAATGCAAAATGTATAATTTTATTATTACAGATTGTTTCATTATATTATTTATTCGATATTTGTGATCAAATGCATAGCAGATGTTAATTTACTAAGCCACCTCTGGTTGTTCGTTGCGAATCGGACCAGCTGTGGTACACGCCGATTGCCGGACATACGAACGATTTAGCAGGAGATCAGGTGTGACAAGTCTAATAGGGCTGATAAATTGCACCGATCGACACTTACTAGATTTTCCAATACTGTTACCATTTGCCCATGCGTATTAATCCTTAATATATGAAGTGTACATTGGGATATTGGAATATTCAATGCAGCATTGGAGGAGCATTGGATCTATATATCTATAGATATATTGCGTATTACGCTTGTATCGAACGCGCGCGTTATACTGCTCTTTATCACATGACTGATACAGGTTATTATTACACAAATTTATATTTTTTATCAATTTTTATTCATTTATTTTAAAAGTAAATAGATGTGAGAATGTAAGTAGATTAGATTAGAAAACAATTAAAATTAATTTATATAAAGATAAAAATGTCAATCTAATACTTTATGATAATTTCTCTTTTATGTGTGATTGGAAAGTTTTATGTTCTTTATTGACACAAGAGAGGCGTAATTCTAAAATGTTTATTTAGTACGATTTATATGCCAAAAACATCAAAAGTTTCAAAATTTTCTTTCGGCCACGCTCCGCTGAAGATGTCTGTCGGAATGTATAACGAAGAAAGTATACTTTTACCTCTAATATTTATTACGTAAAATAGTTTGAAAGGCGATAGAAGATGTGGCTGATACCAAATATGTCCGTAGTTTAGAAACTTACGTGGTTGGATAAACATTTTGTTCGTTGATTTCTCCCAACGTGTGTCATCACGCTGACCTCAAGCAAAAGAAAGAAGAAAGTTCTCTGCCTGGCGGTACAAGATGTTGCCGCACCTGCGCGCATTCCACTTGACGTGACCCTAAAACTTTAATGCCCGTCGAGCGTTCACCTTGACCATGGATTCTGCTGTAACTGATAGCTTCCCTTTCATGGTTAACTATTCGTTACACGATACAAAAGTATGGTAACGCTCTTTGATTCAACGCAACGCGTGATTGGATGCATTTCTACTTGTGCGCATAAATGCTTTCAAAACACTTTGCGAGAATTATTCTTACTGAAGTGTAATCAAATCTTAATTATGAAATTTGAAGTACCCATGCGTACATCTTGTTAAAAGTTTCTATATAATCTATTAGCAATTTCTGTCAAATATACCACTTATTTGACGATATATACGCAAGCTTACGTTGCAGAAGCAGATAATGTATGAAACTATAACTTTAGTAATGTAAGTTCGATAGTTTAATCGGATTAGAAAATTTACTGTGAGCACACATATTATTTATGATATAAACGTCAACCGAGCGCGCACGTAAGAGATGAAATTAAAGACAAAGCTAACAGATCCAATTTCTCCTGACACCATCACGGTAAGTTATGGTTTTCCGGAAAATTGGATATATCGTTGAACACACGGAACGTTCGCTGATTCAGCTTGCAAGTAATGAATCCATTCTAGTTGACAATGAGATATCTCGCAAAATAATGAATCCTGATCAAAACTCTTGGAAATAAAAACATAATTATTATTAATGTATCGTGAATCATTATCGTAGAAATAATCCAACGTATATGAAATATTATCGGAAGATATTTTTGCAGTTCAACTAATATAACAAGCATTTTTTCGAAATAAAGCGAGTGTACAAAAGTTTCGAGTATGGATAAATTTCTATGATGACGATACAACGATCGTGGTTTTAACGATGCGGTGGAAACTCGACCCGCCCGAGATCGTTGAATAAAGAGAGGCTGAAAAAAATTCCGATGGCCGGTGTCGTTGGACAATTAATTCTAGCGCGTACCGTAACTAGCTACCTTTGCCGACCCAGTATGGTGCACAGACTTTCGGACGAAACAATTTTGTTTGCGGGGTCTCTCGTTATTTCGAGATTTTTGCGGCAGTAACAGCGTCAGCGTAGATGGTACTGCCGACGAACAAGCAAAGCCAGACCATGAGAGGCGGCACTTTTCCGCTGAATTATTGATGACAACGTAATGGATCTCAATGGGGTCGGGCGTATATATACGGTGGTGCATCCGTGTGGTATGCACTATATGCACAGTACGGAAACTGCTGCTTCCCGTCTTTTTATTCCACATCAGAGGAAACTCCTGTGCTGTGATTAAAAGCTCGAAGGTGTCCCAGAGTGGTATTCGACAGTGGTATAAAACGTTATCGTGTAAAGGTTGCTTTATCATATTTGATTTTATTGAAAAATTTATCCGCGACAGAGAGCTTTTACCGTTTTATAAAAAAATAGATAAATCTCCAGTTGTATAATATCTTAGTTTCTTTTTAATATTGCGTGTGTACGCAAGATGGTTAAATTGTTCAACATTTAGTACGATTAATTATTTTAATTTATCATTTAGGATTCTAATTAAAACATAAATCACGATTCGTATAATCCTAAATAGTTCAACGGCAATTTATATTTAATTCAAACAGCAAAAAAAATAAATTGCTGCCGCACTGATGATGATTTCTTATTAGGTTCTTTGTTGTATTACTCTACTGCCGACAAATCCATTTTCTTTTTCTGAACACGTAATTACTAATATTTCTTTCTATTCACTTAATTTATAGCGGCAGAAGTAGTAATTATTATATTTCCGGTAAAAGACAGGCTTTAATTAGAGAAGAGCGACTAATTTTCTCGCATCACATTGATATCGCCACGCTTATTCTTGCACATTGCAATAATTAATCAGTATGATTGAAGATTACATCAATCTACAATTCACCATGGTGCAGATTATTACGTCGTATTGTGCAAGACTTCTTATACATACATGCGACGCAACACTCTTAATGTGCATCCTTCAAGACTCAATGATGCATCAGTGACTCTCTTGGCCAATCTTTAAAATAGGTGACCGGGAAAAAAATAAAGATTTGTAATGAAATTTACATTGAGGTTTAAATATTGCGCATAAATCTACCAGCGTTCAGATTTTATCGAGACCATCCGGATCTGCCGAGTCAAATATCCTTTCCCGTCGTGACAAGATACACGAGACGTCTCACAGATTGCATATTTATGCAAACCATAGTCGCATCGCGCTTTTTTAAGTCCTTCGGCGTTCAGGTGCTAGCAGATATATTATCGATAGCTCACGTCGTTTCTTCGAATGTGAGCATAGGGTGTAATATTCGGTTGGCGCAATCCTTTCGTGCGCTACCTTCTGTGTGCCGCGGGAGAATTTACAACCGGTTTCGTGTGACGGACGCGCAATAGTCACCGGGAACCAGGGAGCGCGCACGACGGCGCATCTTCGACTTCTTCGGCGAGACAGAGGCAGGGCTAGCCTACTTTCTCTACAAAGAGAATTTTTAAACGACGTGTGAGGAGGACTCCCTCTTCTCGCGCTCTCGTCTGCCCCGCATCGCGTCATCTCTCTGTATGCCCTCTCTCTCTCTCTCTCTTCCTCTCTCTTCTCTCCGTACCCTTAGGCGCGCACTCACTCTCTCCTTTTCCCGGGTCTCCTTTCCACAATTCACCCGGCAACCTCAGTCGACGACTCCTCTGGCAGGTAGCCCTCTCGCAGTCTATATAAGCGGAGTCTTCATACGAGACTGAACATTTTTTGTGTTAGTACCGGCGAGTCGTGGTGCTCGTCCGTCAAAGAGGCTGCGGGCCGACGAGTGTCAGTATGGTGCGCGCAACGTGTCATACGAAAAGCCACCGTTAAATCGCACACGATTCGGGATAGACGTGACTTTTTTTAAAGTGCAGTGGCGAAAAGTAAAGGAAGCAGCGTCAAGAAGAAGGAGATACGTAGTGCCGGATAATTTGTGTGTAGTGACGAGACTGCGGTTTATGCACGTGGGTCATGGTTAAATTCAAGGTAGGTAGGTCGCTGCGAGTTTCGACTGTCGTGCTTAACTGTCCTCTTAGAATGAAATAAAAGTGTAATATAGTTATGTCAAGTAGTAAATCCAGTGCTTTAGGCTTAGTATGCTTTTTTTCAATTGCAAATGTTTGTAACTTATTCATTATGTCATTAAAATCTGTCATTTCTTTTGAAAATAGGAAATATATATATATTTAAAAATATGTGACATGTATTTTAAAATATTGAATAACAGATTTTTTGTAAAAATTATTATTACGTTGATTTTAATATTTATTAATTACGTTAATAAATGTAATTTTATTACACATAACGCTTTTGACATTTTACAATAGTATTTGCATTCTAGTGACAATTTATATTTCGTTAAATCATAGTAAAATATATGTTACATTTATTATCAGTTTCTCACACAAAATTATTCATAAACGTTATTTCATATTAATCAGCTATCAAGCCATCAATGCCATGTTCCATTTACGCTTATTTATAATTATCACATATAGTAATTCTGAATATGTTGTTAATAACTTAAAAATTTTTAATAATTATTATAAAAATTTAAATAAAAATAAATATTTTGCTAATAACAAAAAATTACTTTGAATAAATTTCTATCAAATTTATATATTTATTATAATTAACATTTTGTTGGTTTAATTATTTATATACGCTTATGAAATAAATCGAATTTCCGTATTTTAATAGATTCGATGAAAGTTGTTTACGCACACGTACTTATATCATATTTAAGACTTGAGAACGAAATTAAAAAGAATATTTTAGTGTGTGGAAATCTCCATGGCTAAAATAATGTTACAACCTCAATGTGAATAAATTTCCGTACTAACAAGGGAGGGCGCATGCATTATAAACGGAGTGCGCGATAAAGGTCTTAGGCGTATGCATTATCGATAATTACAGTGCGACGATTCGCAACCAGAGATTAAGTAATTGCCGGTTTCTTATTGGTGTCTAATAAAGACCCACCTGACGATTCTAGTCAATTAAATTTTTTTAGTTGATTTGTTAAGCAAGTTAGCCTTTCGAACTGATCTTTGACGAGAGAACGATAACGACAGATAATTAAATAAAAAATGATTATATAATGAGCTAAAAATATAGGTCATTGCACTTGCGCGCGTGGCGATGCGAAAACGAGAGTTTATATGAGACACATACATTTCCGTACGGGCAGTAAAAAATGTATCCGCATGGGCAGGTGTAAAAGTGGTTATCTGCTTATCGCAAAAGAAAACGACATAAATGTTAATTATGTCGGAGAGGCAGCACTTTTTACTTAATGATGTGTTTACATAGTCGATGCTCATGACCGTGAAAGATAGATTATGATTCAGATGCAGATAGAATCAGACATATTCTCATAGATACAATCACTCTCTATTTATTACATACAGCATGCTATCAAATTATTCTATCAAGTGTTCGTCAACAATGCAATCTATGGAAATGCGAAACATAAAGATTGATGAGAGCGTTGAAATAAAATATAGTAGCACTATAAATTTTGCATTTCGGTTAATTAATAACAAAGGATCTTGTGTCTGATAATTTAATTCATGAAATGCGGATATATATTTTGGATAAAACACATCCCGTTTGATTTGATTGGAACTTTCTTTTGTTGACCTCGTTCGCATTGATGGATCGCGTGTGTCGTCTTGTAAGTTTTATATATGTGATCAAAGTCGTCAAACAATTTTCTTGTGATTTATTTTGATGATTGTAAATTGAATTGCTGTCTATGGAATTTCGTTGATTTTTTACATAGTTATTTTCAAATTATTAAGTTTATATAATTAGAATTATTATGCAGGATATTGGAATTAATATGCAATAATCAAACTGTTTTTATTTTTTCGGCGGATGCGCAAAATTACATGATAAAAATTTAATGGGCCGCTGGCAGCATACAGATTGTATACAAAAATTTATTTCATGTAATATATATATAATTATGATGCATTTATAATTGTGTGATTTTTATGACGACAAATAATCATCTGTTAAGAAAATAAATTTGGGATGTTCAATTGCCAAAAGTATAAAAAAGCATATATGTGATATAGATTCCCTATGCACAAATTTTTTTCATCTACGAATTCTTAAGCAACTTTGATTCAATTTTTTGTGAAAAACACATTTTAAAGCATAAATAATTAAATATTACAATAAAAGATAGGATTGTAAAAGGATCTTTGAAATCACTTTCGCAAAATGTAATTATTTGAAATTGCAATTATTGCAATACATTTGCCGGATTGCAAACATTTCCCGTGGTCTTTGGAGAAAGTACGGTTGATTATGTTAGCCTTGCATCTCGGCCATCGTGCCACTTAAAAGAAGAAGTCGATGGTTTCTTGCCGGCATTGACAGACGGCAAGCTTGTATGCTCTCATCGCTTCCTCTCATCGATTTCCTCAAATATTGCATTTTTTAACAGAAACATAAAAATTCTATTTGTCGTACTTTTAAAATATAATTTATTAAAATATTAGCACGCGTATTGTAAAATGCTGCTGCAATAATTACTCTTGCAAGTAATAATTGTAATAATAATTGTAAATAGAAATAATTGTAAATAGAAACATTGTTTTATTAATGAAACAAAATAAAAATGTATGATTTGAAACTCAAAAATATCTATCTAATTAATCTAAATATCTATCTAATTAATCTAAATATCTATCTAATAATATCTATCTTTTTCACTTATTGTTATAAAACAATTTTGATATTTTATTATTTAGCTATTTTTTTATTTAGCTATTATTTTTTTATTTAGCTATTGATATTATTTACTTATAATTAGTATAACATTAATAGTTTAATACATGATATTGTCAAACCATTGCTATAGAAATAATACGGCTAAAGTAGCCAGTTTCCTAGCATAAATAATAACTTCTCTTGCAACAGATATTTATTACGAAATGTACAAACAAATTTTGCGCGTTTTATTGCAATAGTTCTACTTTTATATGTCATGGAAAGAACATTTAGTTGATCATTTTTACAATTGTGTTCAAGAAGGAAAGATCAGGCAGATAGTTTCATTTGGAATATTTTCTTACAAAAGACACGTGATGATGTATGATCTCTTCAAAATCACTTAGAAATCCAGAAATAAATACAGTATTATTACTAAAAATTATCATTAATTAATTTTTATTAAAAGAGAGGAAACTAACGTTTTAAATGAAATACTATTTCTCCATTTCTTGCAATTCATCTTCATGCAATACTCGCTACTCTGCTTACAATTGACGCAATTACTTATTCGCGTACGCCTCTTTAATTCTTAGAATGTGTAAACGTGGCTTTACATAATTTTCACATATGTTGAAGCGACTTCCCTAGTTTAAGCGAATAACACAAAAGTTCTCACGGCCTCTAATATGATTGCTACACAATGATGAGTAGCATGGGTGATCTCTGTAACGCGAAACTATTCTTAAGCGCCTGACGAACTAATTAGAACACGTCTAGTTTAGCGTTTCACATGCATGAATAGACATCCAGAAGACAATTATTTTCCTTTTATTTTTGGAGATATGTTTATATAACGAAAAAGATAATAATCTTTGACAATACATTGCTTATTGCGCTCTGCGTACTGAAATATGTTTGATCATATTTATCTGAGAAAATAAAAAGTAAAAGCATGTAAATGTAATAATTAAAAAATGATGATTTTATAAATTGCAATTGTAATCTAAATTTATCACTATTATTTAATTAACATACATAATCTAACTGTATATTCTGTATTTAAATAAGACCAAATTAAAATCATAGAACCGTAAGTAAAATTCAAAATGCAAAATTATGTTAACTTTATTACGAAACAATTTGCTGCAATTAAATCTTTCAAAATCTTGAGTGTAATTATTATCGCGCTTACATAATTCATATTATACGTTCATCACTATATAATTCTAAACGTGACGATTAGTACGGAAAATGGAGAAACAGAATTATAATCACGGCAACCACAAAGTTACTTTCTCCGATTCTAATCGTTCCGTTCTGCTTTTAGATGCTTCTCGCGCTGTTCAGCGTCCTACTGATTGGAAATCACGTGCAAGCGGTAGTTAACAAGGCGCAAGTGCCGTTAACCAACGAAGAGAAGAAATCTATCAAGGGCAAAGTTGAGGATAGAATAAGCAACACTTTTGATTCTCCGTCCGACGACTACGGACCACCGTTGGGATCCGGTTTTAAAGGGCCAGCGCCGGTATACGGGCCACCGGAATTAGTCGGCAACCTTGGACCAACGCCCATTTATCCACCTCCACCGCCGGAATTGCCGCCACCCGTATTTGGACCGCCTGCCGTATCGTACGGCCCGCCGCGAAGTCTCAAGCCGCAATATGGACCGCCGAAACAAAGTTTCGGTTTGGCAACACCCTCCCTTCTTCTGAAACCTACCTACGGCCCGCCGAAACTTCATTACGGACCGCCGAAGCAACATTTTACGCCGCCAGCGGCGTCGCTATTCATATCACCGAAACCTCAATACGGTCCACCATTGAAGTTCGTCGGCACATCGAGTCAGCAATATATACCGCCACCACCGGCGAGTCAGCACGGGCCACCGAAGCCGGGGCATGGACCACCTATCCCTATATCGCTCGAGACTTACGGTCCACCGCCTCCAAAATTAGCTATTCAGTTTAATCCTCTGCCCAATGACGAGTACGGTCCGCCGCCGCCGCCCGTAGCCGCGCCGCAACCGCAATACGGTCTACCGGCCGGTGATTTATACGGACCTCCACCACCGGCACCTCCACCAGGCGTTCCTGCGCCACCCACACCACCTGACATAAAGTACGATGGATGGCAGCCCATCGCGGGATTGGCCACCTCCCCTAATCAAAGTGGTCCGCCGGCAGATACGTATGGCCTTCCCGACGCGAAGCATAATTACATCGAAGGCTTGGCCTCCGCGGGATTATCGCACGCCGCGCTGGCCGTTTCGACGAATTCGAACGTGCCGAGCGATTCTTACGGCGTGCCGATACACAATCCGGAAGATCAAGATCTGAAGACGTCCGTGCACGATGCGTCGGCCTCCTCGGAGAGTAATGGATTACCGCCGCCGCCGTTGCCGCAGCACGAGCCCCTCCACAATCAAGGCCCGGGCGTCGTCGGTACTGCTAGTCAATCCGATCACCAGTTCGGTCGACAACAATTAAACTTGCAATACGGAACGCCAAATATTGAACCCTTATCCATCACGAAGACAGTGGGATTCGAACTGTTGCCGGCAAACGGCGCTTTGAACGGCGCGGATCTCCCAGGTTTATCATTGTCAAGTGGCACTTCCGACGCTTCGTCGTTCAATCATATCTCGAATTCGGTTAATGCCAATTCCGCGTCGCTTCATACGGGACTGGAATTGCCATCGGACGATGGCGGAGCTGCTCACGCTGCTGTTCTAAACAGCGGCAGAGATTCTCACGGGTTTCAAAATGTAGGAAATGATCTGTCGTTGCAGCAGTTACCGCAACAAACGCCGTCGCTCGATTACGGTCCGCCTTTAACCACTTTTGGAAAATCCACCGAGGCGCTATCCGGAGCATCTTTGCTTTCTCCTCCTCCTTTAAATACTTACGGTGCGCCGCCTCTTTCTTCCTACTCGCCTAACGGACCTTATCCCGCGGCGCAAGGAGGACGAAGTCCGTTCTTTTTATCGTTCGGAGGATTATTCGGAGGCTCTTTCCCCAAGCAGAATCTGCACTCTCAAAGAATTCACGGTCCACCGTTCAGGTTACCGCCGGTACCCTTCGAGTCTTTGATACCGCCGCGGACTCGAGAACCGATTCAATTCAGAGAGCCGATACCTACGGGACTGTTATCGAATATTAATCGGTATTTACCGCCACCCGCGAAGCAGCAGTTGCCGAATCTCCACGCGCCGGTGTCTTTTCACCACACGTCGGGATCGGGCAATTTATTCCCCGGTTCTTTCGCGTCAGCCGGTTTGTTCAACGGAAATAAAATTCTAAATTCCCCGGTTGCCGCGCCACACGCGCAATATGGAACGCCGTTGTCGTTCACCGATTTTAACACTCCGACGCCCCATTTGACTTACGGAGCGCCCAACTTCGGCCCACCGACTTCCTTCGTTTCGACGTCCTCCGGATTCGGCAACAATCTTTACAGCGGAGTGAATAACGCGTTAACAACAACGTACGGTACACCCGTGGTCAATTCATTATCAATCGGCGGCGGTGGTCACGATTGCAACAACGCCTTGCAGCCACTCCTGCCCGGAGCGTTGCATTCGAGCAACGGATTGTCCGCGAGCGGAGAGCTGCCTTTAAGCGGCAGTTTACCTTCAAGCGGGGAATTGCATTCCAGCGGAGAGCTACACTTGAGTGGAGGCTTATCTTCGGGCGGTGAAGTGCCCTCGAGCAACGAGCTATCGGGTGGTGGATTATCCGCGCACGGAGGCGCACATTCTAACGGCAAGCTGCAGCTCGATTTCGAAAATGCCGGCGCTCACGCTGGAAGTGTGAAAAATGCGGAACTAGGTTTTACAAATTCTCTAGCCACAGGCTTCGCGAGCACCGGTGGAGGCGATCTGTTCGACGATAATCATCAGAATTCCATTTTCACCGGCGATTCATTGCCGCTTACGAAACCGCTCGACAACTTCCTGGGCGGACCACCAGTCAGCACGCTCGATCTGCAGCATAATGAACAGCAGAAGATAAATCTGAAGGACAGTTATGGCAACCCCATCGGATTAACATACGATTCGTTGAACGAAGCGAGTAACCCGAATGCTGTTCACGCGTCCACCGCGGACGTTTCGAACGAGCTCTCCGCACCTTCATCTAGTCAGTCTCAGAATACCTATCCCGCGGCAGCGTCGTTCGAGCACGGCTCAGGAATATCGGCGGAAGCCCTAACCGCAAGCCTGACCTTACAGGGTCTCGGTCAGGGAAAGAGTTTCGCGTCGAACGAGATCGACGCTAATCAATTTCTCAAATCAAGCGAGGGCAGCGAGGCATTGTCTCTGGCGCAGAAACTGACCGCCGACAATGCCAATGACTTTGAGATTCAGGGTTCCAAGGGCATTTACAGATTGCAGATACAAGCGGCGGATGGTGGATTGGGCACCGAAAATTCGGATGGCAGCATTAGGCACGATCAAGTGGTGTCCAACGATCTACTTCAATCAATAATAGCCGCTATAGAAGAGCCGGAGAATGCCGCTGTGCAACTTCAAGAAGCGCCGCAGGCTCAGCGATTGGAAAAAGTTTACGGTTCTGATCTGCTGCAAGAAATTGGCGTTCCAAATGGTCATTTTATCACCGTAGATAGCCACAAGCCTGGCAATGAGCTCGAAAAACGATCCGAGCAAACGAGCGACAGGAGCGAAGACGAAAAGTATTTGAAAAATCACCCATCAGTGGCTTTGTTCTTCGATACTAAATACGGAGAAACGATTAAAGAGGTGAGGTCGGTGTCGAAAAGCGAGACACAGGCCGCGAAAGAAAACGAACAGAGCAACAACAAAACGAAATCCTCGTAACTTTAATTATGTGTGCCTTTGTGGAAATATTTAATAGCATTTTTTTTTTAAATAATAGCCTTGAACGCCTCGATTTATTTTGCAGAGACTTTTTGGTTTCCATTTTTAACGAAGATACTGCTGTCAATAGAGTGCCCTTTACTTTCTCCGCTTGCGGTTAACCTACAAAGAATCTCGATAAAAGCACGATTAAATTCCGCTACAGAGAAACAAATATTTCTTGCATTTTCGTAATCGAAGCGTTACATGCTCTTCGGTAAAATTTTCCTTTGGAAAATCACTGCCTCAAGAACGAACGGTCATGTTTCCATATTTTCAGATTTTTTTTCAGATTAAAATTTTTATTTCTAAAGAAAATGCAATCAACCGACATTTTGTAATTCGATGTTGAAAGTTTCTGGTAACTTGTGTTACCTCTTTATTTCTAAAAATCGTTCGAGCGAAGATGTTGTATTACGCAATTTCTGATGCGCTTCAAAAAGTGCCTAAAGTGGCTGATCGGCTGGAAACTGAAATTAGAAGGCATGAAACCGCGCGAGTAAGAAATGGGAGTTGATGCAATCCTTTTTCTCGTATTGTAAATAAGCGAGAGTGATAATTACATGTTGGCCAGTGTATCAATAACGGGTTATTAGACGAACCGTTTGCTTGTCCAAGAACTTTTCACCTCTCACTAGGATTACGAGAACGTAAGAAGAGACACGGATATCATTGGATATTTTTACCGATGTGAGAGAAGATTTCACGTCCGTAAACGGTGATCCTATTATCAAATGATTTACCGAGATCCGATCAAGGATCCAGAACGACTTGGACTTTCTCGTATCCTCGCGTCTTACGCTATCTTCGTCCATGAAAATCTCGTCCCGATAGTCCTTCTCAGAACGAAAAAAATTATTCAATATCGAACGAGATTTTTGTCGGATTATTGATAATCGATGCCTCTTTCGGCCTGATTCGACGAAAGTGGCAATCGCTGCACAAAGATGCTTAAGAACGGTACGAAGCATTATGCGCATTTATTAATACTCATGTAGGTCAATAGGTTGCGGCATCGCTCTCGCGAAGTATACAGGTAACCATGTGACGCATCCTCGTAAAGCCGCCCGGGCGTTCGCCGGCATCGTGATCGGCGGCCTCGTATCTTTCGCGGTTTCAGCCTTCGCCGAGGTGAAAGTTCAAAACCTCGTTTAATGACCCGGCGAAACGGTGCTTGGCTTCTATGAGAATCTCGTTCTGAGTGAAAACGCATCGTCCCGTCTCTGCGGGCGTTCAAGCACGTTAACGCTTGGTTGTGCATACCTTTGCTGACGATAACCGGTGGATATGGGATGCGCTTGTAGTTTCGCGCGTGTATACGTGCGCGCGGGCGAAAAACACGCGGGCGTACACACGTGCCTTAGAGCCATGCACAGCGGAAGCGCGGGGCAACCTCGAAACGTCGATACCATCGGGCACGCAAGCGACGAACATTATTTCCTTCCGCCGCGCGTATTAACGACTTTACGCGGCCCGCGATTCGCGGCTCTGCGCGTAAGTTGAAAATGAGCGTGTGTCGTGAAAGCGCACCGTTAAAATCCCGAGTGTGGCATAATCTTAAAGTTTTTGCATTTTTATGGTTTCGCCTGACAAACGGTTATGCATAACTTGGTGTATAGCAGATACGTAAAATAAGTAGAGCGTATACGTTTAAGAGACGCTCATTGTTACGAAGTACGCAGTGACGATACTGCCAGGCCATAAAACGCATCCAATTGCTCCTAACCCACATCCACCTTCTTTTTTAAGATTTTAATTTATTATTTTATACAGCGAAGCTTTCGTTTCTCCCTCAACGTGTGGACATTCAGCTTATATCCGATGAGCAATCGCTGCTATCACTCGCCGGATATAACGAACTTATTAGCTTATACATTTAATATATGCTCCGCATGTAAATATATGGATACTTTGTAAATAGATGTTAACTTTTTTACTTCCGCTCTCTCCTCATTACCTTCATCCAATATTAATTTATTATGTCGTAGTCAAACAATAAATATGACAATAAAAGCTAATTGTAATGTACATGTTAATAAGCATTATACTTTTTTCTCTCTTCATCATCACTCTTTAATTATTTACTTTCTACTTGCAGTACGCGTTGCCGAGCTCGGCCGTAAACATTGGCATTAACAGTGCAGAGTATTGCAGAAACACGTTGTTTTCAAGTCCATTTGCAGAGATTGGCTCGCCGTAATGTGGATTACAAGTTTGCACATCTGAAAGTGTTTGTCTCGCGAAAGTACTCGGCTAAATCGGCGGTCGCCTAAATTCCGCGAATTCTGGCACGGCGGAGGAACGGAAACGTATGAGGGAATTAGATATCCGCCACTAAGTAGAATTACGGTTATGTAAATGAAATGCTATCGCTTCGCCTTCAGTTAGGATGGTTAGTACCCAGCGCTCCTCGCGCTAAAATCGTTACGTAGATTTTCCATGCGAATCCATTCGCCGTCGGGAATTCATCGGCTTCTTTCCCCACTGTCTGCGCTTTTTCTCTTCCTCTTTTCTACTTACTGCTACACGTTACTAGACAATACGATCATGAAACTTCCTGTGTAATCCGAAACTGAAGCTATGAGAATATTCACACGTTTTCCGTAAAGATGAGCTTGCTCGTGTTAAGCTAGTGGGTCGCATTGAGTAAGCTAATTAACATGAACGTCATTTTCGTACGTATATTTTGTGTAACACATTTTCCCAAATATGTAACACTGATATTACAATAATAAAATCAGAATTGTTAATTTTACTCAAGTTCTTTTTATAAGAGCTTAGAATAAAAATTTTCATTATATTTAATTTGTAAAAATAAAATAAACTAGATGATTTAATAAGTAAAACTTTATAAATAAATTCAGTTTTAGAATGTTACATACTCTTCACAGTTGCATAAATAAAATAACTAAATGAAATTAGAGAATTATTATAGGATTTCAATGTCGCCGCGTTTAATGGAAATGTGATAAAATTTGTGCGATTAAATCTATAAAAAAATTGGGACGATAATATCGCGCGATTATAACAGAGTTATCTCGTTTCATGTTAAAAGGATTACACGGCAGGTATTAGAAGGACGAATATATTTGATGGGTGATAATAATTTCCGGAACTCGTTAAAATTCATCGAACCTGCATAAGACGTTACACAGCGTTCGCTACGGGTAAAATAGTTGATGCCTACAAAGACGAAGTGAATTTTACCACCGCTCAGACGATCTCGAAGGCGCGTAACGACTTCCTTCTCGTGTAGTTTTAATCGTACACCGTATCGCGTGGAGTTGCCGGTTTTTCGAGACGAGCTGGTGACGAGGAGGGATTGGAAGGGATCTCGGAGGAAGGTTTGAAGGGTTAGCCAGCGGGAACGTATGCATTTTTCGCGGAGCTCGGAAGTGCTTTATTTCCATACTGACGTCGTATCTGTACACACCGACAGTCATACTGATCTCAGGAGGCACGTTGTTGCCTCATGGGCGATATATATGGAATATAAGGCAAGCCGACAGGCGGAGTCTCGGATGTATCGTTGCCGGCGTATGCCCGGCGTAGCCCCTTCGCCGAAGGCAAAATTGTCTTTCCTGTGAATAGCAAATAGTTTGCTGAAAGCGAGATCCGAAAAAAGAAAATCTTTCTTTAAGATTTAAAAAAAGTGACTGGAACATAGAGATACTTAAATTGTCGCAATGTTTTCTTTAATTTCTTGCCGACTCAGTCTAATTAAAATAATACTCTTCGTGCTAATAATCTTTCTTATATCAAGCAGAAAAGTATATTTACGCCTGTTCATTCATTCCTTCACGGTTTCGGTTGCGTTCGGTCGCGGCTTAAAACAATGACAGTCGCTCGATTAGAGTCGTTCTCACGCGTCATGATTTTTTCTTCCGTATGTGCATCATATAACAAAGTGGGTCTGACACGGTGGAAGTGACACGGTTTTTCGTTTGCAAACGACTATAAGTATCACGAATAGTAATTTAACTGATTATCATTGTATTTAGGTAATAATTATTTAATTTTTAACATATTTCTAGTCAATTTTTTACAATTTGATAAAAAGTATTTTATTACATTTTTCAAATTTATTCCTCCAGATTTTAGCAATTAACATTTGCATTTATAATGTATTTTTTTATTTACTGTTTATATTTTATAAAAAGAAAATGTAGCGAATTTATAGAGAGCGGAAAAAGAGTAACAGAGGAAAGGAAAAATATATCTTTTCGAGAGAACTTCGACAATCTCCTGTAAGTAATTTAATCTTGAGAAAAAGATTCTTTATTCTTAATCAATTAAGAAAAAAAAAGTGTAATGAAAAGAAGTTTTATTATACTTTTAAAAACACGTACACATATTGCTTTGAAAAATAAAGAAAATAAAAAGTCTCATGCAGGTGTGATTCATAATTTTATGTTAAATAGTCGATTATTAATATAAACATATATCTAGTGAAAGTTTCACATGGAAAAGAATTTAGATTTTATTAACAAACGAGATATTAATCTTCGTCTATAGAATTTTCTAAGCTAATTACATTTGTAGATTAGAATTATAATACTGGGATATATGTGAATTATTTATATGGAGAATTAAAATCGGAACTTTATAATGAAAGAAAAACTATTGCTAGCAAGTAAAACAATAAAAGAATCTTGTGTGAAAATTTTTAATTTAAAAACCGCTATATGCAACAATTAACTTTGTATATATTGCATTTACATATAAAATTTTTTCATCAACACAGTTCAAAGCTTACGTTAAATATATCATTTACATAAATTATAGCACGTCTATAATCGCTTGTAATTTCAAAAACTAAAAATGTTATTGATGTATCTTGAGGTTTATTGATGTATTCAGTCTTCATGCGTGAGAAAGAAGAATGCGTAGTTACGTTTTCCATGTAGTGTTGCATAAAAAGTAACGATCTACGCCTACACGATCTGTACGTAAATGTCGAA